TTCCCTAAATCTTGGATGTAATGGATGTAATCTTCACTTTAGTTGTAAAACTCAACATATTTTAACAAATCAATTGACCAGATTGAAAGTAAATTAAGATTGAAGTGAAAAGATCATCACAAATTCCTTAACATTCTCATGACACAACCAATTCAAATCACCATTTCACAAAATCTCAAGACAAGGAGAAAGACAAAGAAAACTACTCAGAACTCATGGAGAACATACGACAAAATTTGGAATATATATATATAAGCAAAGTCATACAAACTTCAATAAGTAAATACAAATTATCTCTAATTCCTCCCCAAGCAAACTCCTCGAAGTTCCTCTGAATCTCTTCCAATCTTTACAGCACACAAAATTCTCCTTCGAAGTGGCAAGGAGGAAAAAATCTCTCACTTTCCTTCCACTCTTACAATCTCTCGAAGAATTCCTCACAATACTAACCACTCTCTACACTCTAATGGGCACCACAAACAACAAAGACTCAGCGGACACCCCCGTGGACACCTCCTTTTTCGGCCTCCAAATGTTTCTTTTAAAGTTATAGAAGAGTTTTCAAGAGTTGCCCAAGCGTCCCTTAAAAAATCGTCCACATTCAATGCATCTGTTGAGAGACCCGACGTGCTCGCCATTGGCGGCCTCGATGGCGTTGTCGGCGACTTTCTAGAATATTTAATTCTAGACTCTGGGGAAAAACTCGTCATCGGCGGTGTCGAGCTCGCCGTCGGCGCCCAAGATCAAATCATCATATTTTGGTCCTTTTTGCTCCAAATTTGCTCTTTTTTGTATCTTTTTGCTCCAATGACCATAATACAACATACCTGCAACAAAACATCAAAAATACTTTTCTTTAAAGTGCAATATCATCAAAATCAATGTAAAATAGGTATGAAGACTTGAGATATTTCAAGCAATTTAATGTAATCAATTTCATTATTTCTAATTAAGATAAATTAAATATTAGATTAAAGGGTTTATAGCAAGCTAAGCCACAAATACTACAAAAAAGCAGGTTAATAGTGTGTTAGAATACTTTTGATGTAAATACTCATGTCACATTTGCATTTGAATTTCATCGAATATTATTACTATCAGGTTTTGCATTGGCACAAGTTGATACAAAATCATAACATAGAACATAGCAGTGAAAATTTCAATGTTTTATTTCTCACTTAATAACAACAACGTTTCATTCATTAAATCCAATGCAAACATCTTGGTGTAATATGCTTCTGACGCTAAGCTGACGTGGAGCCCTTAAAATCTAAACCCATGCATTCCCACTAACCTTCAAGCTACTCGAACAAACTCCTAACTTCTTTCACGGACCCTTTCTCTCTAGAAATCATCTGACAATCCCATGAAGTTAATTTAGCACCGACAATCTTGTGACTTCGACAACTCCTCATCTCTAAGCGTACTTTGTAAGTAACAATCATTTCTCCTTTTCGCTCTTGTATTTCCTTGAATAGTATTTTATTTACTATTTTTAACATTTTGGTTTAGTTTTATGTATTAGGGTTTAGGGATGTGTTAGGTTGACATTGAGGCGGTGTTTTGTTTCAAGTAGGATTTAGGTTTAATATGATTATACAAAAATCATATCATTTAATCTACAATAATGCTAGATTTGGTATATCTGATTAAACTAAGATAGTTTTAGAGAGTGTTTGGTTGCAAGTAGGATTTAGCATTAGTAAGAGTTTGTGTATCAAAAAATTTCATTTCTTTTAAATACACCTTATGGTTAGATTTAATAAATATGTTTATTTGTGTTCTTTTGTCTATATTTTTATGAGTTTGTGTGTGTGTGTGTTGATATATATGTACATTAAAAATATGTCTACACAAATTCTCAAGAAAACTCAACGGGTCTTGCTTAATGGACAACAAAGGACTGTATCAAGATAGTCAAAAGATAGAGATGTCAAGCGTCATTTTCATATGTTGCAACTATGGACAGACCTAATGAAAGCACAATCAAACAAAAAAAATAAGAGGCACATAATCCAAGAGACAACCATTTGTTATCAACTCCCTTAATGAATTCCAAGAATCTTCACGAAGATGGCCAAAAAGCACCCCATCGAATATCTTTCTAATCCTCTGAAAAGGCCCATTGTC